ATCGTCTGTAATAATAGGCTGAAAAGTTGAATGACTAGCATTCCTCGGTAAAAGACGGTAAAAACTATGCCCGCCAATCAGATCGTTTACACGTGAAGAATATTTTTCCCGCAAATCGATTTGGAGCCTACGGTCGCTTATTTATGATAACGTCTTTTCAACAGTGAGAAATTCAACTGTCAAACGAATCCACGACAGTTGAAACCTTGCGCCAACTTTCTCACTCACTCACACACACACGCACACACACACAAACACACACACATGCTAAACATACATTGTACACACTCACAAACGTTTCTTCCACAGCAATATTTTTCAAGAATAATCATTACAAGAGACCCTCATGAACATTCTTCCAGTGAACTTTGAACCAAATGATTATTTCTCATTGAACACTAAAATAACAGATAAAGAGAGACAACTCTTGGTTAATTCAAATGCATGCTTTCCTTCACATCGTTGTTTGATATTGTACATCTTGTTAAATACATATTTTATGTGTAACAATGTCTTTTGGTTATCCTTTTCTGCATCAGCCCTGTTTCTTAATCTAAAGTTAAATTAATGTGGTCAAGTCTTCTCAGTGGTATTGAAAAAAATAAACATTTTGAGGGAAAATAACTGATTTTGGGGGAAAATAACTGATTGTTTAAATTCGGCTAAGAATTTGTGATATATGTAAGTCGATGCTGAATGATGAAAAAAGTATCTTACACAACAATGATTTATTTTTAAATATAATCCCGGCCTTGTCAATGCTCTTAATTCAGTACACCGGGTCAGATTTAATGCAAGCCAATATGTTCAATATTTATGTGCAATCGATGTTGACTGGAAAAAGAAAAACAAATAAAATAGAGAAAGGAAGAAGAGAAATGATAAAAGATGCTGAAACAAAGAAAGAAAGAAAGAAAGAAAGAAGAGAAAGAAAGAAAGAAAGAAGAGATAGAAAGAAAGAAAGAAAGAAAGAAAGAAAGAAAGAGGATATAGAAAGAAAGAAAGATAGAAAGAAAGAAAGAAAGAAAGAAAGAAAGACGAAAGAAGAGATACATAAAAAGAAAGAAAGAAAGAAGAGTTAGATAGAAAGAAAGAACAGATAGATAGAAAGAAAGAAAGAAAGAAAGAAGCGATACATAAAAAGAAAGAAAGAAAGAAAGAAAAAAAGAAAGAAAAGAGATATCATTAGCAAAAGATCAAGAAGAAGCCACATAAAAACTGAAGTGTAAGTAAGAAAACGAGAGAAAGGAGAGAAGATAGAAAAAAGAAGAAATAACAAACATTGAAGTCATAATCTGATTATAAATTTAACATAGAGATGTAATGGTTCCACCACGTGCGGGATTCAATTGTGGTGGTACTACGATTTATATTAACGATATTCCCAGCATACAAGATTCAAGTAAACAACAATAACTCCAAATTGTTAATCAACAAATATATATTGAAATAACATACAAGAACAAACATGCAATAAAATTGATGTATAGATTAAGGGAATAAAGTTGTTCCCCTTTAACTGTAGAATGATTTGTAATTAATTGTTCGAAGAAAGTTCTCTTGAGAGAAAAATGTTCAGAAATCAATATTAGAACAAAGTTTGCATGTTAAGAATAAATAACGCAAGAATACAATTAATTAAAAATGTGTTGTATTGGGAATGGTTTGAATCAACAGAGTTCTGCTTCATTGAACTTGGCAAATCGCAGAGAGAAATGTAAGTTTATATTATGAAACTCTGTGTCTGTGTGTGCGTTTGAAATATGATGAGCAAGATCGTGGATTTGTGCTGACGGCTGGAATCTTACGGGATCATACTGACGGCTTGCGAAAAGTCGCCTCTTTTAAGGAAAAAGGGTAGGCTCCCACGGAAACGCGGGAAAACTTAAACTTGCATTAAAATATGTGATTGGTTAAAAATTAACCAATCACTACACTCGTACTAACAGAACAAGCAAGCAAGCTCAAAACCGAAGGATTCAAAGAAACGACTGCGATGGCTAAATTGTCCTATATAAAAGTAGTATTGATTTATTAGCCAATCGCAGGTGAATAAAATGTGGGCGTGGAAAAACATAGCAACCGCTACAGAGATATAAAATGAATGAAAGAATTATCGAGTGTATTTTCTGTGTATATTTTTTTGTCGAAAGAACATCGAACAAGAAATAACGATGGCTGATTGTCCAATGTTTAGTCACTTCGATCGATGGATTTCGTTCGACGATTTACGTTTAATGATCCTTGTTTGGCGTGATCGCTGCTGCTGTAGGCATGTCTGATCGATGAATCTCTGTCAGTTAACCATTTGAAGGGCAATTTGATTTTGAGAAAACACGTTCATTGCAAAAGCCGAACTCGTCCATTTTCACACTTCAGATATTGTCTGCTTTTTCCAGTTTTCTTTCTTTCTCATTCAGTTCTTTCTGGAGATGATTTTTTTCTCTTGAAGTTTTGTTCGCAGGAATTTTCATTGTTCTTTCTTTTTCTATCGTTTATTCTTCGTTTATCTTCTAATTCTTTTTTTTCATTGATTTTTTTCCTTCGTTTCTCTTCTTTCTTTCGTTCTCTTTCCTTTCTTTTTCTTTCTTTCTTACTCCTTTTTCTTCCTATTTCTCATTTCTTTCATTAATTATTTCTTTCTTTCTTTCTTTCTTTCTTTCTTCCAGGAGTAGAGATTTATCCCTTGTTTCCTATTTAGTATTGCGTTTCCGGTTCTTTCTAAAGCATTCTCATACTCCTTCACTTCCAGTAGCTCCTTATGTCTCAGTGGCATTATTGCCTTACTTGGTGTGAATTGATTATATATATATATATATATATATATATATATATAACGATATATACATTGGTATAATTTTTATATCAACAAACAGTATTTTGAAAAATAGCCTCACAGACTGGAAAAGGGTTTATGACGCGTTTCATGCGTTAGGATGAAACATGTCACAATTTTTTTTCAATTTGTCATACTACTGTAATTCCATTCAATCCATAACACGCACCCCTAAAATTGTGCTGAAAGTGTGTGAAAATGCTTCTACTCATGCATAATACGCACCCCTTGTTTGGTAATCCAACCCTATAAATTGTACCTTTCCAATTTCATTACGGCCAGCATTTCCTAGCCTTATCAAAAAATGATTTTTAAACATAGAATAACATTAATCTAATTTAGTTTTATGATAATTCTTCTTTTAGTTTACATTTATAAGTATTTTTAGGTGCATATGATTGTATTTGACATCCTTATGAGGTCGCAATCTCCGAATATTAGTGTCAAATTGTCGTATGTTTGTGGTGAGCAGTCATTTCGCAACTGAAAATCGGCAATTTTTAAAACATTTCTTTTATATATATATATATATATATATATATATATATATATATGTGTGTGTGTGTGTGTGTGTGTGTGTGTGTGTGTGTGTTTATATGCTTGTGTGTGTGTGTGTTTGTGTGTGTGTGCAGATATGTAGAAAAATAGGAAACAAAACGTTAGGTAAATAATCCGGAGTTCTTTAGTATTTTTTTTTTATTTTTAAAAAACAGTGCTCCATACAGAAGTAGAGCTTAAATTATAATTATTTAAAAAAAATATGATTCCTTCGCTACATAAGAGTTCACATGTTTCAAAAACGAGAGCCAAAAAACCTCAATATAATTATTAAAATTAAATTGAGTTAAAGTATCAAACCCTGTTTCATCCCCAAGCGAAAATTTAGAAATAACCAATCTTGAAATTTACGCATCTTTATAAGCATGTTCATTCGCAAAATTAATTACTCTGGAAACGGCTGGGGCGACCATTTTGATAAGGGGCATAAGAGTTAATTTGCATCCACATACCAGTCACCTTCGGAAAGAGGCCAAGCCGAGGTAGGGACGGGGTGTCCATTTCAAAACTAATGATGGCATTCATGTACGCACATCGTCTGGTCAGTCACAGTGAAAGATAGCTTTTGGCACCAGAATATTGAAGGAAGTGTCTAAAGAATTTTATTTTATTTATTATTTATTTAATGATTTTTTTTCCTAAAGGGCTCTTTCGTACATAAACGCATCGCACTGAACTACAGTATGTTTTTTTGACGACTTCATAAAGGGTTTTTCTATCTTATGATTGAGTTCAGCATTTAAAATTTTTATTAAACTATGAAATTTATTTATTTATTTTTTTATTCTAATTATTTAATGCGAAGATTTGTGGATGTCGGAAAAAAAACCGTTAACTCATGTCTATGGTTTAATAAATTTTAATAAATTTTAATTATTTAGAAACTACATCGGCATGACTTCTTTCCGAAGGTGATTGATTTGTGAAAAGAAATTAACTCTTTTCTTTGTTTCTGTTGCTCCAAGCCTCTTCTTCATCTGTGAGGAGATTGTCTAGCATTCACTGCTATATAGGAGGACTGATATCACATAACAGTTCAGTACTCTTTTCTTTTTTTGTTGCTTCTAGTCTCTTCTTCATCTGTGAGGAGATTGTCCAGCATTCGCTGCTATATAGGAGGACTGATATCACATAACAGTTCAGTACTCTTTTCTTTTTTTGTTGCTTCTAGTCTCTTCTTCATCTGTGAGGAGATTGTCCAGCATTCGCTGCTATATAGGAGGACTGATATCAGATAACAGTTCAGTACTCTTTTCTTTTTTTGTTGCTTCTAGTCTCTTCTTCATCTGTGAGGAGATTGTCCAGCATTCGCTGCTATATACGAGGACTGATATTACATAACAGTTCAGTACTCTTTCTTTTGTTTCTAACGAATCTCTTTTTGTTTCTTAATATTTTGCTATATAGGAGGACTTTTAACAGTTCAGGCATTTTTTTCGCTATCCCAATGAATCTTGAGGAATTTCAATGCTATATAGGAGGACGCATAACAGTTGTACTCTTTTCTTTTTTTTAAAACACTTTTTGTTTTAAGATTTTTAATTTTGTTGTCGCTATCCCAATGTTTGAATTTCAATGTTTTGGCACCTGGTAGATTGAGATAGATTTATATAAATAAAAGAATCGGCTGAGAGAGAGAGAGAGAGAGAGAGAGAGAGAGAGAGAGAGAGAGAGAGAGAGAGAGAGAGAGAGAATGGAGAGAAAGAAAGATGGAAAGAATGAAAAGATGAGAAATAGAAAAATAAATAAACGTTTGCTTCGTAGGTAAGAAAAGGATAAGATGAAGTGGAGTGACAAAGAAAGAAAGAAAGAAAGAAAGAAAGAAAAGAAAGAAAGAAAGAAAAGAAAGAAATAAAGAAAGAAAAGAAAGAAAAAAGAAAGAAAAGATAGATGGAAACATATAGAGAATTGTTTGCTTTGTAGAAAGACTGACAACGGAGTTGAAAAAGAAAGTGGAATGAGAAGCAAAGAGAGACAGAAAGAAAGAAAGAAAGAAAGAAAGAAAGAAAGAAAGGGCAAAAAAGGGATCAGTGGGATAGAAAGAAAATGGGTGCAAGCAAGAAGCGAGGCGTGAAATATAAAGGAGAGTGGGAACAGAAAAGAGATGAGTGAAATAGAAGTAATGAAAGAAAAAAAGAAAGGAGGAGGAGTGGGGGGTGAGGAGGAGGAGTGAGGAGTGGGTGAGTGAGTGGGTGGGAGAGATAAAGTGAGATATGAGAAATTGGGTGAGAGAAAGAAATGAATGAGGTAGAAAGAGTGAAAGCAGAAAAGGGAGGGTAGGTAAGCAAATAAATAAATAAATAAATAAAGAAAGAAAGAAAGAAAGAAAGAAAGAAAGAAAGAAAGAAAGAAAAAGAAAAAGGAAACGGAAAGATAAAGAAATCTTCCTTTTGTTGAAAGTTTGCTGACACGGTGGGAAGATTAAGAGAAAGTAGAACGAGAAAGAAAGAAAGAAAGAAAGAAAGAAAGAAAGAAAGAGACAAGAAAAGAGAAGAAAGAGAAGAAAAGTGAGAAGTGGGATAGAAAGAAAGCGGGTTGAGCAAAAAACGAAGGAAAGGGATAGCGAGAATGAAGGTGAGAGCAAGAAAGGAAGGAGTGAGGTGGAAAGGAGAGTGGGAGCAGGAAAGGGAGGAGTGAGAAATTGGGTGGGCGAAAGAAAGAGCAGAAAAGTAAAGAGTGAGATCGTAAAGGGAGGATACAAAGAAAGAGATTACGAGCAAAAAAGGGAGAAGATGTAAAAGGAGAGAGAGAGAGAGAGGGAGAGAGAGAGGGAGAGAGAGAGAGGAGAGAGAGAGAGAGAGAGAGAGAGAGAGAGAGAGAGAGAGAGAGAGAGAGAGAGAGAGAGAGAGAGAGAGAGAGAGAGGGAGAGAGAGAGAGAAAGAGAGAGAACAAAAAGAACAATAGTGGGTATTTGTTTTGCCGTCAGCTTTTGTAATTAAAATTAAATCAAATAAATTATTTTATCGTAACCTTTGATCTCCCACAATACTTGTTAAAATTCAAATTTGATTGGCCGTTTTTCTCGGGTTTTTGTTTAAGACAATGACAATTTTTCTTTCATCTCGTAGAATATAATTTGCATTTATGTCAAGATTTTGGAATATCTGAAAAAAGTTTTCCTTCTGAATATAAATTTAATAATTGTATATAAGGCAGGCATTATTAAAAAAGAAGATAAATTCGGAAAAATAAAAGGTCGACTACATCATTTGCATAATTCTACCTCTATATCGGGGTCTGCATTCACGGTGCACATCATAAAAAAATCGCGAGTGTGCGAGAGGTTTGGTTTGGTTTGTTTTGTTTTACGGCATATCAACCTCAATGGGGTATTTAATGCCGACAAAATTTTTATTGCTGGTAATATTTTGTTTTGTCAAAAATCTATTTCTGGTAATAATTTTTTCCTTCAAAAATGTATTGCTGGTAATAATGTTTTTCAGAAAAACCACATTTCCAAATCATTAATGTCTATTAAAAATGTATTTAATTTTTTTTTAGATACGTTGATTAATCACCAATAGCAATTTAACCCATTAACTGTCAAATTTTTTAGCGCATTTTTGGCCTAGACAGGTGTCTTAGGAATTTATTTATTCCTTATGCTTAATTTCAGTAGTTACCATTGACGTTTTCATAAAACTAGAGCATCAAATATATATGTATATAAAACGTCAAAAAATGATATTGATTAGAAATAATAAAAGAAGACTTTTCAAAATAGTCATTATTTTTCTTTTCGTGAAATGTAAAATTACGACAGAAAGTGTCTTCTTACGGCTAATAATAAAAACTTTAAAGGCTAAGTGTTGTAAAATATACCTCTGCAAATGCAATCTATGTAAGAAATTCAATGTAAATACAAGGAATAACATGTAGTGAGTTTAATTTTAACAGATCCCCAAATAGGGATCATGGCAGATAAGGGGTAAAATTTGAGATTAAATCTTCAATCACAGATTTAAGTGATCTACTAATCGAAGCTTAGATGGGGCGAAATGCCGAAAGTATTGAGAACCTTGTGAGAATCGAACTTCCTATTAAATTGTAATTGATTTTGCAACACAAGATTGTTGACCCTTATACCAACAACAAAGTGCTTAAAT